CTTGACTTTAGGATTAGACTGCATTTTTGGAAAAAGGTTAACATGCACTTTATTTCTTTTTTCTGTTAAAGGTGAATCCGTGAAGGAAGAAAACTTTTGATTTGTTATAAAAAAAAAAGCGTGCAGAAGATGTAGAAGTGAAAAAGTAACTCCACGATTTGTCTTCTTTACTTTTTAGGCTTTGCACTGTGCCTTCCACGAATTTTATAGTCACACTTCTTTTCTAGTTTTTAAAACTTTGTTGCAGCTTTTCATCCCGGGCAACATTTTTTTGTCAAAAACTTGCTGGAAAGGAAATCTAAATGCATGGTAATGAAAATTTCCATGCACTTCTCCCTCTAATTACAGCGATAGGGGTGTTGGGACTACTCAAATGAGAAACAACTTGACATAAAAAATAGAGGCTCATGTCTCCTGATGTGGATGACTTTCTTTCCGCCAGGAAAATGATTGGCATAGCAAAGGGCAATAATCTCTAAACTCAATGGCAAAGAGAAATTCTAAACGATTTGGATGGCACTGTGCAAAGTCTTAGAGAATTGTAATTTGGCTTTAAAAAAACTTAAAGAGGTCACGTTTGGGTTATCTAACCCAGGGAAAAAATATCCCTCCTAATCCACATCACCACGTGAAAATCCATCCCTTTTTGCAATTTACTCCATCCATGTCATCAAGGTCCATTTCTAAGCCCTACTATTTTCATCACTATTCTCTAGTGTATACATGGCTTCTGACTTGCTAGTCATAAATGGTGGAGACCTCTTGCAAGTATAGAAGGTTTTTTTACCCACATCTTTATTAAACTTTCTAATATATGCATATAAAAAATGCACTTTTAGATGAAGTATCTTTTTGGTGGCAGGTTAAAGTGAAAAAAAGGGGAGATGACACCAAGTATGTTGCCAAGGTATGCTTTCCACGGTGATTTGTCAATGCCTATATTACCTGGGAGTCTTCTTGTAAATCTTTTTTTATGGGGTAGAAGTCTTAAGGATGCAAACTTGGGTGAGGTAGACATAGATATTTACCCAGCCCAACTGCTTGCTGATCTAAACCAAAACTTTCTATCTGGGATCTGGTAAGAGGAAATGTGACACAACCCACTTAGCAGGTTTACCACGGGCTCCTTGGGTTAGTAGTTAGTTGATAATGCATGTTATATGTCTGTTGGAACATAAGTTTGGAGCTTTCAGCTAATTCCTTCAAAGAGCAGTAATCGCATTTGGTATTATGACTCAATCTATAAGATGGAAATTTTATGCTTATTTAAAGTAAGATGTTACTAGAGAATAAGAAATTAGCTTCTTTTTTTTTTCGCTCAAATAATTGTGGAGCTTCAATTAAGAAATTAGCTTCAAAAGCAATTGATTTTTATTTTTATCAACGCCTAGATGAAGTGGTGCATTTCCAGGGTTTGGTGTATTTATAATCTGACACAATAAAGACACAGTTTTATTCTTTAACTTAGTCATACTGGACCCAAAAATAGGTATCAAATAGATACGTTTTACTCTTTTCAATGCGGTTTAGGTACAGGCTAAACTTGTGTATTATTTGAGTGTACACATTATGGTGTGGTCAAGGTGTCTGAGTTGAGTCTGTGCCTATTAGGTGTAACTGAAAGACGATGACTTCACCAAATCCAGTAAAAGAGGGTATGCTAACTATTCCTCGGAAGTTCCGGTTTGATCTTTGCGATTTCTTGTTTAAAGAAGACAAGAACTACAGTCCTCTAGTTATCTGTGGTTTCACTCATTATTTCGACTGTTCTTATTCTGTCTCTCTGCATATGTGCGTATGCAAATACCATCCACACTGGGAGCTCCTGAAAAGTTTCCGATTTTAAACAATTGATAGGTAAACTAAATAGACCGCTTCACTTTTTTTCTTTTCTTTTGTAAGGCGAAATAATAAATTGAATCTGGAGTCTTGACAACCAGCAAATACTTTAAGACGATGCATTTAGTGATGCCTGCTAAATGTTAGACTATAAATTGAACAAAGGGATGCTATTCTTTAATAAGATCTCCTTTTTGATGTTGAGAATCATAGGCTAGGTGAGTATAGGGGCCTGATTGTTTGAAAAGTTGGTTTTTATAGATGAGAGTCAGTGTCGAAAGTGCTATAACATAATTGATTTTTGGTTCCTGGAATATTTTTAACAAAATTTCTTATTTTATGCTGAAAACCAGAAGCTGAGTGAGAGATGATTACATTTAGGCCTGATCTATCGGAAAGATAAGTATTCTTAGGTGAAAAGTGGTGTCAAAAGGCTCTTTACCAGAAAGTGGTGTCAAGCTAAAATGTCATTGGTTTTTGACGTTTAGTTTCATCATCTGTTAAATGCAGGTTCTAGCTAGAGGAGTGGAGTGTGATATAGCCTTGCTATCTGTGGAAAGTAAGGACTTCTGGGAAGGAGCTGAGCCCCTCCGCTTTGGACACTTGCCTCATCTGCAGGTGCGTCTCACATTCCTCAGTACAGATAAGTTCTGGTGCCAAATATATGCATGTATTTTTGGAATATTTGCTTTCTCATTTATGTTAATTTTGTCATATACAATGTTTTCCAATCATACTTGATTTTGGAGTAATATATCTTGGATTTGCCGATACTCTATAATAAGGTTGAGATTGTTTCTGATATTAGTGGTACTGGTATGTCTTATTTATGCCAGCAGTTTGGTATAATGTTTGGCTTCAATTGAAGAAATAACAGTTGATGCTTAGCTTTTATTTGGATTTAATTATTCTGTGAGGAGTAATAATAGTAAATCTACATGAAATTTGGGAAATCTTTGCTCAAAAAACTTGCTTAATTTTTGGGAATAGCTAATTTGTGGCTCACAGAGAGTGAAAACCTCTAGTAGCCATATGGATATATTACTTTATCATTTGAAGTTTGCTGAACCATTTTCTTCTTCTGAAATTGCCATTTTCAATTGAAGTTCGGATGAAATCTTGACTTCTTATTTAATACCCAAATTCAAATCTGTCCAGTTCTGTTGCATTTTACATAGGTATAATTCTTAAGCTGGAAGTTATTTCTGACTTGCAGGATGCTGTAACTGTTGTAGGTTATCCACTTGGAGGAGATACTATTTCTGTGACCAAAGGGGTGGTATCAAGAATTGAGGTCTGTTTATGTTGTTTGGATTTCAGTTTAATGTTTCATCAATTTATCTATGCTACCAGGCAGTAACTTCATCGTCATTAAAAGTCCGTATTGCTCCATTCGCCAGTGCTGCTCATTATCATTTTCTGGTCACACCATTTGGATTAACATGTTATGATTGCTCTTTCTCTTATCACATTGATATTGAAGAGTAACAGTTTTCTACAGTTAGAAGAACCGTGAAATATTTACTTAGGAACCTCCATAGATAATACATGAATTTCACAAATGCTTATTACTGACATGGTATTGAAGCAATAAAGAGATACCATGATTCTTGTTGCTTCTACTTCCAAATTAGAACCTATGCTGTAAGGCAGTTCGTTTACTATAGATCAGGTTCGTCATCCTAAACAAAAATTTGCGGAACATCTCTATTACATTACCTGGACAGTGGGCAAAATGACATTCCATCAATGACCTCCAGCAATTTAGCATCTTGATGGAAGCTAGGCACTATGGCGAATATCCATTCTTCTTTGTGATAATTGTTTTTTTTCTCTTTTGAATTTTCTTTTACTTTTACGCTGTTTTCTTCTTACTATTGCCCACTTTTTAATGGTTATTGTTACAGTTAAAGTTTATCACGCTTACAGTGGCTCTGGTGTTTTACTTATCACCAAAAAAAGTTAACAGCTTCCTTATTTCTTAGTTAATACTGAAATGGGGGAAATTTTTAAAAAATAAGTTGATCTTCCCTTTTACTCCTCGTGATAAAAAACACATTATACTATTTTGTTCTCCTAAATGTTGAATACTGGTGCTAACTCATATATTGGTCTTCATCATTAGGTCACGTCATATGCTCATGGATCATCTGAGCTGCTGGGCATTCAAATAGACGCAGCAATAAATCCTGGTAAATATGGACATTGATGATGAGACTCTTGATATATAAAAGAATGCCCAATAAATTTCTCTTATTAATCTAACTTGTTTTATAGAAAAGAACAAAAAAGAAAAGAGAATCTAACTTTTTGTTATGACTTCGTACATGTGCTTGTACGAGGATCATGGCTTGTGCTTTCTCTCTGTACTGTAGTTTCTGCTACTAATAGCAACTGTTTTAGGTAATAGTGGCGGCCCTGCATTCAATGACGATGGAGAGTGCATAGGGGTGGCATTTCAGGTAGTTTCTTGTCTGAGTCTGATATTGGTATTGTCAGGTTACTAAATTATGGCTTCTTCTGGATTACCATTTGGTCTATAAAAGATAATGTCTTTATGAATTGGGATGCAGCGTTTGCTCTTCAAGTTTCAAATGGTTTCTAACTACTTAATTGCGCTAGTTCTTCATTCTACCGCTACTGTTATCATCATTGGTTCGGAAATGCATGTTTGAACTAGTCTGAGACCTTGCTTCAAGACAGACCATAAAACTACTACCATTGGGAATTGGTAATTGCCTCCGAAGCCATATGCCTCATCAATAATATCACAAATTACTTTTTATACATTTTGCTTATTTGAAGCTTTTCTTGATATATTTTCTGCTTTACAAGTTCAAATTTCCTGAATCTAAACAGCAATATGTTCTGCCCTTTGATCAGTGGGCGAATCATTTTCCTTGTGCATTTCCCCGTCAAAACATGGTTATCATCATGCTGGTTTCTTCAACTATGACAAACTGATGACTCTGCCTTCATGTTTTCCTCTGAAAAGTTCTTTTTAAAGTTTGTGCTTTCTTTTCAGATATATGTTTTGACAAGAAAAGTCTTTTAGGTTTACAGGTCAGATGAGACTGAAAATATTGGTTATGTCATCCCAACTACTGTAGTGTCTCATTTTTTGGAAGACTATGAAAGGAACGGGAAGTACAGTGGTGAGTCTCCCTCTTTTGTGAAAATATGTGAATTTAAGGTATTCTATGTTGGGAAACTACCTAAATATCCAGGCCTCTGCAAACACTGTCTGGTTCCAATATCTTATTTTCCGGTATGCAAGAATTTCGATTTTCCAAATGACACCTATTGGCCACTGGGTGAATCACAAGGAAAGAACCTTCAATTGGACACACTTGGGTTTAAATCCTGTGAAATTAGGATTTTACAAGCATCCAACCCAAATGTCTAAAATTCAATTAATTTTGGAAAGAAGATAACCTATTCAGAACCTGCAAATGTTGACTATACCTGTTGTTTTGTTTTTAAAATACTCTTTGTTGAAGTGTTCTATATTGCTTTAGGGGATGAGTTATTATCTCCTTAAGGTCTTGGGCATTTCTCACCACATGAGCTAGCCTTTGGGGTTGAATTAGGCCCAAGGTCCATTTTATAAGGTATTGGATCCAGACCTATCCATAATCTTGGTTTACTGAAGCGTTGATGCCCATGTTGTATTTTTTCATGCTCCAGATGTGTAGCCCTGAGAGTGCCCGGGGGGAGGGATGAGGGTGGTGTTATAGTGTCCCATATTGGTTGAGAGAATGTGTTGTCTCTTTATATGATCTGGGGCGGTTCCACCATATGAGCTACATATTGGGTTGGGTTACACCAAATGTAACACTTTTGAGTTGCATGTTACAGAAAATCCCCGTTCTAAACTTGAACAGAAAATCCCAGTTTTAAAAAGGTTCTGTGGACGCCGTTAGACCAAAAGGTGCTTCCTGTAACAAACCCCATCAGCTCTCACAATGGTGAAACCAAAAACTAAGAAGACTTACTGCAAATCGGAGGAGTGCAAGAAGCACACCCTGCATAAAGTTACTCAATACAAGAAAGGAAAAGATAGCTTAGCTGCTCAAGGGAAGAGACATTATGATCGCAAGCAATCAGGTTATGGTGGACAGACAAAACCTGTCTTCCACAAGAAGGCTAAAACTACCAAGAAGATTGTGCTAAGGTTGCAATGCCAAGTGTGCAAACATGTATCCCAGCACCCAATCAAGCGGTGTAAGCCCTTTAAGATTTGTGGAGATAAGAAGGCAAAGGGAACTTCTCTCTTTTAAGTGGAAAATTCAAGCAGATGGCCTTCTTCTGTTCTGACATATTGGAATTGCTTTTCCAGTTGCAATGTAGTTTAAGATCCTTGACCATTAATATCTGTGTCGGGAATTCTGTTTTCCAATGATTTAAAGTTCGAATTTCCTTGTCTTTCAAAAAACAAAAATAGAAGTTTAGTTTGAAACTTAATCAAACTTGTCGGTTGCAGCAGCTGCTGCTCTACTCTTATGTGAGAATCAAGTATCTTTGTGCCTATTGTCAGTCTGTCATAATGGGCAGGTTGCAAATGAGAGTACCAAAGCATTTCAGTTCTGAGCCACAGACGTTTCTCTGGCAGCAAGTGCTGATGCTTCTTCGTTCTGCAAGATAAGCAAGGGTAGGTTTATGAGGGTTTTCGCTTAAGAATTTCAACAGTTGGTATTCCACGCATCCCTTTTTATATAACAATATTGCAATTTGGACAAGCAAAGAGTTGGGGGAATGGTTTGTTGTCTTCTTAAGGTCTTGGTATTTCTTACCGCATGAGCTAGCTTTTGGGATTGAATTAGGGCCAAGGCCCATTTTCTTGGTATGGTAATGGAGCCAGATCTATCCATATTCTTGGTTTACTTAGTTGTGGGCTCCCATGTTATGATGTTCACGCTCTAGATGTCTAGTCTTGAGAGTGACGAGAAGGGAGGTGTGGGTGTTATAGTGTCCTATATTGGTTGAGAGAATATGTTGTCTCCTTATTGATCTTGGGCAGTTGTCACTTCTTCAACTACATTTTGAGGTTGAGTGATGCCCCTTAACAATTTTGAGTTGCATGTTGTTTATTTTTGTTTTCTAGAGCTGAGGGTCTTTCAGAAACAGCCTCTCTACCCCTCCGGGGTAGGGGTAAGGTCTGCGCACACTCTACCTTCCCCAGACCCCACTTGTTGGATTTTACCGGGTTGTTGTTGTTGTATGTTATAAAAAAGCCCAGTTCTAAACTTTGAACAGAAATTTATTTTTAAACTTAACCAACTTGCCGGTTGCTACTGCAGCTGCTCTACTCTTATGTGAGTATCTAGAATCTTTCTGCATATTGTCAGCCTGTCATAATGGGTAGGTTGCAAAAGAGAGGACCAAAGCATTTCACTTCTGCGCCATGGACGCTTCTGGCAGAAAGTGCTGATGCTTCTTTGATTCTGCAAGATAATAAGGGTGTGTTTGTGAGAATTTTTTGCTCAGGAATATTAAAAGTTGGCAGTATTACAGTTTGCGCAAGCAAAAAGTTTTTTTCTTTTACTAAGATGTTCTATATTTTTAAATTTTTATAGTTATAATTGGTTGCGATTCATAATTCTTCTTCATCTAGTTTCTTAGTGTTTCAATTTTCTTCTACTCCCTCAGTCTCAATATATGTGGCAAACTTTTCTTTTTAGCCTGTCACAGAAAAATCATACCTTTCTATATTTAGAGATAATTTAAATTTAAAATTCTCATTTTACCCTTAATGAGATGATTTATAGCTACACATGTTTATGACTGGTTTTAGACCACAAGTTTCAAAAGTCTTTCTGTTTTAAACTCCGTGGTCAGTCAAACAATGCCACAAAATGGGACAGAGGAGTAAAAAGATAGTTTTTTTTTGTTCCAATGCACCCGAAAATCATATGATTTGAACCTCCTACTCCAAACGCTTTCGTCATTTACGGAACAGAGGAAATACTCAAAAATAACAACAAAACAACCAAGTGAAATCTCACTAGTGGGGTCTGGGGTGGGTAGTTTGTACGCAGACCTTACCCCTACCCCGATGGGTGGAGAGGCTGTTTTCGATAGACCCTCGGCTGAAGAAGACGAAAAGAGACAGTATATCAGTATATCAGTACCATCAATATACTTAGAAAGAAATAACAGCTTCACAAGAACATAGACGAAAAGCAAAACAATAACCAGTAGATAAAGCCTGACACTAATGTCACGACCCATTTTCTGAACAAGCTGGGACCGGCACCCGATCACTAAACATGACCGAGCAAACCATCTGCGCTTATCAAATCTATTATAACTTCAAATTTTATATGCCACAAGGCAGTACTGCAACCAAATACCTTTAAATAATTTAAATATCTAAAACAAGCCAACTTCAAAACTTTATTTGTAGTAACCAATGAAATACTGCTAAGTTATTATAAAAAAACATCTGAATCTTAACCTACCGACTGTGTCTATGAAGCCTCTACTGATAAACTGACGCATTGCTCAGGACATGAGATTTTCTGGCCAGTTCTCTAAGTAAACAAAGAAATAGCTAAATAAAAATGACTCTAAGGAATACTCCACGAACAAAAGCAGAGCTCACCAATAGCACTGGAAGAGAAGGAAGTCCTAACTCGTAGTCTGCTCGCCTGCAAAACCGGTTCCTACGTTGTACCACAGACCAACGTAGGTTCCCAAAAGAGAACGTCAGTACCATCCATTGTACTCAGTGAGTCTCAACGACAGGGGACGAAACTTTAATAACATATACATTACGAGCAAAGATCCTAAATGCATGTAAAACATAAAGCTTATAAGAACAATTCTAAAATAATTGCATAATAGCAGTTTATGAATATTCTTAAAAAAATTCTTTTCTTTTTATTTCTTATAAAAAAAAATACTTCACTTTATACTTTGAGAGTTCCAACTATCCTGACTTAATTCTGTCTCAGTCACCGTGTGATCGGCACGGGTTCGATTCCAACCTGATCGAATAGGCCCAATCCACGAGGTGCCACTCGCTTCATGGTTCTCAGCGCTCATGTATCATACCTTAGCATGGCTAAGTAATTTCTCAGCAACGAGACCCTCGGCTCGTGTGCTCCCTACTTTGGCACAAGTAGTTTCAGGAAGTCAACGCCTTGGTCAGGACCCTCGGCCTGGACGATGACCCCTTTTCAGAATAAGGGATACTCCCTTTTTTCTTTCTACTTCTTCTTGTGACTTTTCACAGTCTAAAGCTTTTCTTTTTGGAACATCATGCACATGCTCATGCTGGTATCCTTAAATGTAAAACATGGCATAAGAATGAAATAAACATCTAAAAGTATTTCTAAAGATTCTTGCTTCTTCATAAATTTTCAACATGAAAATAACATATAAGAATAACACAAACATCTGAAAATTTATGCACATATATCATAATAAATCATCTAAACTTTTGCTAGAACAATTCTAAGTTAATAGGTATTCACTCGCTCCAATTAAGTAAATATAAACTCTTTTAAGCAATTCATCAAACACCTTGTATGCGTGCTTTTGTGAGTTAGACCACTTTAGTAAAGGGTTATATCAACTCATCTCAAAACTTCTCGAGCCAATACGTAGACCCCAGTCCAATTTATACCCGTCAAATAATTGATTCTACAACAACCAGTGCATTTTAATTAATTTTAAAGTTTCACACCTAAACATCGAATTTATTGTTGATATAGAGGAAGAAGGGAATTAACTTTTCAATTTTACCTGTTACTACTGTAGGATAATTGACAAATAGAGAATTTTATATACATGAGTTCAGGAACAAGTGGGTTGTGAAGAACCCTATAATTTTTCGTGAAATTTCTGCCGCCTCTCGTAATTCCGTGCGTCTGTTTCTTTGTTTTCTGATCTCTAAGGCATAAGCCCTTTCTTTGTTCCCTTCAAACCTTTTAGCTTGAATCACGTGACTCTCTTTTGCTTAATTGTTTTTTTTTGTTTGTATAACGCTTTAAGCCTTTGTTTACAACAGCCCTTTTATGGGCTTTAGGGTAATTTTTTTTTGACTTAACTAATAGTTAATGTTATCCACTTTTTAATAATTAATAATATTAAAAATTATTAATAAATCCCCTAATCGTATATCCAATTCTTTATAAATAGAGAAGTAACTCAAAATCAATCATAAGGGTTTAAATCCGTAATAGAAGTATAATTTGAGATAAAAAAAATTAATAATTAAATTCTATATTTAGCGTGTCTTGAAACTTTTATATATTTGAGGAGTCTTACAACTAAGAGGAACGAAAGAGTAATGTGAAGTCAACATTAACCACTAGCAGTCTAAAACAAAATCCTAACAGACTAGCCTCACTCTGGCGCGCCGTAGGAATATGCGTAACTACCTCCTAACCTACCACCCTAATGCTCGACCTCCACAACTTCCTATTTACGGCCATGTACTCGGTAATCTGAAGCCTCGTCATGTCCTTCTTGATCACCTCTCCCCAATACTTCTTAGGCCGCCCTCTACCTCTCCTCGCGCCCACCAAAGCCAGCCGTTCGCACCTCCTTACCGGGGCATCTGAGCTTCTCCTCTGAACGTGCCCGAACCATCTGAGCCTAGCTTCCCGCAGCTTGTCATCCATGAGGGCCACGCCCACCTTCTCTCGAATATCTTCATTCCTAATCTTATCCATCTTAGTGTGCCCGCATATCCACCTCAACATCCTCATTTCTGCTACATTCATCTTTTGGATATGTGAGTTCCGAACTGGCCAACACTCACACCATACAACATAGCCGGCCTAACCACCGCTCTATAAAACTTACCTTTGAGTATCGGTGACACTTTCTTGTCACACAGAACTCCAGACGCTAACCTCCACTTCATCCACCCCACCCCTATACGGTGAGTGACATCCTTACCGATCTCCCCATCCCTCTGTATAAACGACCCAAGGTACTTGAAAGTTGAAACTGCTCCTCTTGGGGATGACTTGTGATCCAAGCCTAACGTCCAATCCCGTTACGTCGGCTCAACGCTGAACTTGCACTCTAGGTATTCCGTCTTAGTCCTGCTCAACGTGAAACCCTTAGGGCATGTCTCCAAGCCTCCAACCGCTCGTTGACGCCGTCTCGCGTCTCATTAATCAGAACAATGTCGTTAGCAAATAACATACACCATGGCACCTCCCCTTGAATATGGCGTGTCAGAGCATCCATCACCAGGGCAAATAGGAATGGTCTGAGTGCAAATCCTTGGTGTAGCCCCATGACAACCGGAAAATGCTCCGAGTCGCCTCCCACTGGCCTAACCCGAGTCTTAGCTCCATCATACATGTCCTTAATCACCCTAATGTAAGCAACCGACACACCTTTTGCCTCCAAGCATCTCCATAGAACCTCTCTAGTAACCTTATCATACGCTTTCTCCAGATCAATAAACACCATATGAAGATCCTTCTTCCCATCCCTGTACTGCTCCACCAGCCTCCTAATAAGGTGGATAATTTTCGTAGTAGAACGCCCTGAAGAAGTATTCAAAATAACGTGATAGATAAAGGGTCACAGTGAGAATCAATTCCTAGAGAGAAGAGGTGGGAGGGCATGAGGGCAAGTGGGGGCATTATCGTTTCCCAATGCATCCTTATTCAAAAATGGTTTCCTTTATTATGTTTTTTGCCCTTAATCCTTAAGCATAAAAGTAAATTGGTCTATCATGTATAGTGTAAGCCCCAAAAGCAATATAGGCTCTAGTATTACTTTATCATTGCTAGTTCTAATGGTTCCTTCTAATTGCATGGCTATTTTAGTAATTATGTTAAACATAGGTTGAAGTTTTAACCTGTAACTTTCAAAAATTTATTGGTCCATTCAATTTTAGTTACTAATTTGTCGATTTTTTTTTGTTGACTGTAAACCACTCATTTGTTCATGTGGTGCCTATTTTTTATCTCAATTAAGATGAAATTCATTTATCAATGTTGAAGACATAATTAAGTATTTAAGCGTGTGCTCTCTCTAAC